TTCCATTGTCAAGATAGTATTGAAGCCAAATCTTAGTTGCATAGGAAAGTTAGCCATTCGGGACAGATTGTATAGGACAGCCCCAATTTATAAAGATTTTGTAAGAGGCATCCCAGGGGTGACAGCAGATCTGGCTTTGAACTGCAAGTGCCCATTTTAAAGTCTATGCCCAACTGCGTGGCCTAAGTCTATTACAGTGTGTCCACTAAAATAGCTCTTTCGTCTAACTGTGTTTGGCAAATTGAATGCTAAGTGTCCCTAAAGCAAAAAAAAGTCCATCTCAGCTAGGCCCTGTCTTGCCGGTCTAGCGGCTGAGATCAGAGCTCATGGAGCAGACCTACAGCTTCCACAAGCGTCTTATATTCGATAAAAGTAAGTACAAATGGGTGCCCCCAAACCCCTATAGCATAGACAACAAAAAAGGACCACCTAGATGCAGTTCTCTAGCCTAGGAGCCGATTTTAGAGGGGCATGGAGAGCTCAGATTGTAGACTGGGGGGGCTTTCGACATGTGGCCTATGGCCATGCAGAAAGGCTACCCTACCCAGTGGGACCTCCAAGATATTAGGAATTTTCCTAATGCAAGTTCTCTGCTGATGCAAAAAAAAAAATCAAGCCAAATTACAAGTCAAATTTACAAATATCCAAATTTAATGGGACTTCTGAGCTCTTAGGTGGGCTGGAGGAAGAAGTAGAGGAAAGAGAATACGAGGGAACTTTCTGGGGAAACAGTTTGAATAGACTGGGGCAGTGGTCAAAATTTTGGCAGGCTGTCTTGACCCTGATCCAGGGAATGGTCAGGGCTTGGCAGGCACAGAGGCAGGTCCTCCAAAAATGGAGACCAAAGAATGGGGCTTACTGTCACAACCACATTAGCCACTGGATAGAGCCAGAAAATACACCAACTGCGCTCCACCCTCATGCAACCCAGTCGGAAAAATGGTTTTCACCTGGGAGAGGAAGGAGGCTTCCCTACAAGATCATTGTGGAGAAGTCTGTGCCATACCCCAGTCAGGGCCTATGTCCAAGTCCCAAGCCCTGCTACAGCAGTGATCTGTGTTATTGTCCAGGGGCTGAGTTATAACCAAAGTCCATGTGAGTGTTGGGGTTCTGCACTATCACCAGAGGCCATTGTGACATTTGTGGTCAGGGTGGCCTGCAAGGGCCTTGTCTGGGTCCATGGTGCTAATGCAGTCTGTGTTCTAGCTCAATCTGTGCCCTCAGCATCCATCAAAGGCCATGGAGACATCCTTGGTCCCTGCCAATGCATGAAGCCATCAACATCTGTAGGATGTGCTGCTGTAGGGTCCCAGATTGTTGTGGGTGGGCATCTTGATGTCCTCTGACAGGTCAGCCTATGACAGCTGGATCTCGGTTAGTGTTCTTACTGAAGCATTGGACTGTGTTTGTGGTCTATAGTGTCCCCAGAATTTGAGTGGGTCATCACAACCCATGTCCTCACTGAATGGAAAGAGCACAGAGATTATTTTTGTGATAAAAGTGATTTTGATTGCTGCAGAGCCAAGGTTGAGAGGGGAAGATATGGAAGGCTTTTGTGATAGACATTGGACCTCCCAAACTGTCTTCTTCTAAAACATGTAACAGTCTAGACAGAGAGCCACCAAAAAAAAAAAAACTCTTAAAAAGTGTGACAAAGTGTGATGTCAATCATCTGTAATGTCAGCTACCCTACATCAACTCTTTTTTCCCACCTTTAAAACCAGAACTCCACAGGCAGAAATATCTGAGTCCACGACCACCCTGGTCTACAGTGTGAGTTCCAGAATAGTCAGAGCCACACATAGAAATTTAGTCTCAAAACACCAAAATGAATGAAGCACTGACTAAATAAATAAACATAAGAAAACTTGTGAACTAGCTGAAGACTAGCTGTTATGATTGTTCATCTCTTTAAGAGATAAGCCATGCCCAGTCCCTGCACCCCCTCTCTTCCTCACATCTTGGCTTCTCTCTCTGTTCCCTTTTCCACTGACCTCTTCTTTCTCCCTCTTTCTTCTTTTCCATTTTTTCTCTGTTTCTCTTTCTCTCACTCTCTCTCTTACCCTCTTTCCCCCTTTTTCCTTCCCCTCCATAATTCAACTAATAAATATCCAATTCTATTCTGTATGATGTGTATGTCCATGATGTGTCTGTCCATGTGCCTATACCAATCTCTGCCAGGAACGTGCACCTTCACCAGGAACTTGCACTTTCCAGGGACTCATGGTCTATGAGACCAGCCTGCTGCGGCATGGCTGGAGCCAGCCACCTTGGTTTGTGGACCCACTGCAAGTTGCCCCAGAACCACAGCAAAGATCATAACCCTGGGTCTATGCAATTCATAGCTTCTGAGCTTCTGGTGAATGTGTGAAAGAGGAAGGACTCTGTTGTATTTCAGGGGCCAAGCACTAATAATTTGGCAATGCTCCAAATACTATATAGATAACACAACGTGATATTTGTGTTTTTCTTATTCGTTTGTTTTACTTCTTTTGTGAGTAAGTTTACAAGGGGGAGTGGACATGGAAAGACTGTCAAGATCAGGGTACATGATGTAAAGCTCCCAGATAATCAAGAAAAGATAGTATGTAGGGAAAAAAGATTACCATATGTATTAAAAATGTTGAGAATTAATAGGCATTTCAAGGAAACCAACCTGACAAATCAGATTGAAGAAATGTAGGCCCATATTTCTACATGGTGTGACATCTAAGTTCTCAGGACATGGTTAGGATCCATCAGGCACCCTTCCAGACAGGCTGTCACTGCCCTAACAAAAGCTCAGCATATTCTGCTCCTTTCTTTTGTAATTATGTAGATCGCCTGAAAAGAGGTATTAATTCCAAGCTAGTGAACAAGCTGTGGACATGACTGTAGTCCTGCTACCTAGGAAACAAAATGTTAATGAACTTCCACCTCAGTTTACCTTGGGGGATAAAAGGTGTTTGGTTAGTAAACACTGGTGATCTTGAGGGGTGGAATAAAGCCTGAGACTCCCTTCCCATATTGCTGTGTGAACTGTGTCTCAATTATTCCTGTGTCTCCCTGCAGGTCCAAGAGAGAAAAAATAGCTAATGTTGGGGCATTGGACCCTGACAAAGAAGGGGTGTAGCTTCCACCCTTGGATATCATCCATAGAGTAACAGTTAGCAAACACTGGGTTGTCACAACCCACACTAGCCTATCATCGGATACCTGATGTTTGAGTCAAGGGACAATTTGACCAACATCAGTCCCCTCCCTTGATGCAATCTGCTCTACTGAAGGCCCTTTCCCCTGATCACCTATCTAGACCTGGATCTGACTTGCAGCTTTTGCCTTTGACTTGGTTAGGCCTTTTGAAACCTGGCTTGATTACTCAGCATCCTTCTTGGCCCGACGCTGGCAACAACACCAGCAATCAGTACCAGTAGCCCCTCCTGGCCTCCTATTCATTTATGGATCTTTCTCGTGTGGGATCATTCTCATTTTTCTTTTGAACTACAGTTCATCATGGAATATTGGGAACCGTACTTGTAACTAAGTACACATAATCTACATTTAGTAAATAGTAGTGACCCTATTAGCTAAAGCCTGATGCTCACACCATGAAGCACAGTGGTTTTACTTATTATTAATTTAAATATTTTTCAAACTTATTTAGTGTTGTGTGCTTGTGTATGTGCACATGCACACTGTATCACCCATGACTGTCCCTTGCACAGTTGTGCAGGGCAGGCCACAACTTGTTTAAGTTTCATCCATGCAGTTGTGTCAATGAGAAGAATCGGGACAAGGAAAGAGAGACAACACTATGAGGGGAGAAAGAAGAGCAAAGAGGGCCAGCCTGTGGTGGGGTACGCCTTTAATCTCAGCACTCGGGAGGCAGAGGCAATCAGATAGCAGCCTGGTCTACAAGATATAGCTCCGGAACCAGCTCCAAAGCTACAGAAAAACCCTGTCTCGAAAAACCAAAAAGAAGAAGAAGAAGAAGAAGAAGAAGAAGAAGAAGAAGAAGAAGAAGAAGAAGAAGAAGAAGAAGAAGAAGAAGAAGAAGAAGAAGAAGAGCAAAGAAAACCCAAAAGAGCTGCCAAGCAGTTAAACAGCAAGAAGAGAGGAGGGGCAGAGGGCAGAGAAAAGCTCTTGAACATTGGTAGTGTGGGTCAGCAGACATAGAACACAAGGTGCATCCTGGCCCAGTAAGTCTGGGATCTAAAACCTCAAGGCACATTAATCAATGCAAGAACCTTAAGCATTTCAATTCTCTAGTTTTGACCTATAACTCTCATGGACTGAAGTAAAGTATACAGGGCTTAGTGATAATAGGAACACGTCAAACAGCTGAAAGCATCCAGTATCTGACACACATACCATTTCCTAAAAACTCTTGGAAAATTGTCTCCCTTGAGGAAAGAATGGAAATGGTTTCCTTAAAGAGAAGAGTCTGCCAAATACCAGAATACCAGCTTTTCAATCAAACTGCATATCCTCCTGCTGCTTCTCAATATTTCTTTCTCCCATTTACCTTTTCTTCTCCCATCTCAGTTGTGCTTCCTCTCTGTTGATGTGGGCTACCAGGGAGCATCTTTACGAATCCTGAGAGCTAACACTACAGTGTCACAAGGTGCATCCTGGCCCAGTCATTTGCTTGAATTTAATAAACACGTTATTAGCTTAACATGGATAAATCTGTGGAAAGTATCAGTTATAATTTACCAAGGGTCAGGCAAATGAAGTCTAAGCCCATCCCAAGCATCATCTTCCTACTGAGAAATAGCAGCTCTCAGGTACCTGGGAAGCATCAGGAACGTTTACTAACACATGTTGTGTAGAATGAAATAACCTTCTTCATGTTTCCACATCCCACGTGCTGCTCTCATGTGCACAGCTTTCTCCCCTGCTTGCCCACTTGACTCCTGGGAGTTGGTTCTGCTATCCTTTGCCATCCTGAGTACCGTGAAAGATGAACCTTTAAAAAACTATCAACAAATCACATGAAAGAGCTTGTGATTCCCATAAATTTTAATGAATTTATTTTAGTGGAGGGAAAAGCATCACACATAGCAAACTATCAATAAGACAGAAAAAAATCAGGCAAACTTTTTATGTCATCCTCAGTCTGTAAGGTCCCAGCAAGATTTCCTTGCATTACTGTCCGCACACTTAAGTCTCTCATTAGCTGTGAATGGGTGTCCAGAACTGTGAGAGCGTTCCTGCTTTCAAACTCTCTCCTTTGCTCATCTCTTTTGCTCTGAGATTGTATTATAGTAAGAGTTTCTGACGACCTAAAAGAATCCTAATTGGAGAAGACTTCTTTGTCCAGCACACTGGCAGGCAGATGATGAAAATTTTCTTTTTTTTTCCTTCAGTAAACTCCATTATATTTTTTGTTTTTTTAATTAATTAATTTAATATTTCCACCTCCTCCCATCCTCCCATTTCCTTCCAACTCCCCCCACTCCCATTCCCCGCACTCTCCAGTCCTAAGAGAAATCAGGGTGCCCTGCCTTGTGGGAAGTCCAAGGATCTCCCTCCATCCTAGGAAGGTGTGCATCCAAACAGGCTAAGCTCTCAAAAAGCTAGTACATGCAGTAGAATCAAAATCCAGTGTAATTATCATTGGCTTCTCAGTCCAGCCTCATTGTCAACCACATTCAGAGAGTCCGGTCTGATCAATGCTCATTCAGTCCCAGTCCAGCAGGCCTTGGTGAGCTCCCATTAGATCAGTTCCACAGTCTTCCTGGGTAGATGCAACCCTCGCGGTCCTGCCTTCCTTTCTTATATTCTCCCTCCTTCTGCACTTCGATGAAGATTTTCTTGTCACAGCACACACATAAGGAAAAAGGTTTGTGACAGCGCTCAAAGGGTTGAAAACAGTAGGAGTCAGTCCTGGCCACCATTAAGTGAGCAGGTGTAGTGGGGACAGAACTTCCTTCTAGACATGACCATGAGGGTGAGGAAGAGGTGGCAGGAGCCAATGCATTTAGGTACTTGGATTGCAGCAAGATTGCAGTTCTGAGGAAAGCAGTCAGTTAGGAGGGATGGAATCTCAGTGATGAGTACATTATTTTGCAGAGATGAGCTGCATTCAGAATTCAGGGTTCATCTCCCCAGTGAGCCTCAGAGCCATCTCGTAGTACAGCAGGGCCTCGGGCATGTCCCCTTTCAGTTTGTGGACTAACCCAAGGAGGCTGGTGCTCTCCACAGGTCGATCATTCTGCTGAACCCGTCTTTCAGCCACTTTCTCCAAAGCATTGAGTAGTTTCCTCTGGGCATAAGACTTTTCTTCTATTTTTAGACCTTTTAAGTAGTGGGTGATGGCCGTGTCTTCTGATTGAAATTGCTGGTAACGGCCATAGCGGAAATGAATGTCCTGCTCTATGTGCCCACTGAGGTTCTTCATGTTCAGCACTATCTGGAAATTTGCCTCAGCTTCTTCATATTGGCGAATTTCTGCCTGTGTTTCAGCCATGCAAACATAAGCTGCATCAAACGTGGGCCTCAGTTTCACACTCTTCTGAAATTCACAGATGGCCCGTTGTGCCAATTCCTTAATGCTGCCAGGCCTTCGGGTCTGTCTGTTTCTGGATGTCTTCAGTTGGATCATTTGTTGCCTGTAGCAGAGCCCTATTTGGAAATGCAGGTAGCCAGACTCAGGTGATGTCTGCAAGGCCTTGCGTAGGAGTTGGAGAGCTTTGTCTATGCAGTCTTTCTTTAGGAAATACTTGGCAGCATGTCGAAAGACATAAGTTTGACAGGATGTGCTGCTGAGGGCTTCTTCAATGTGTCTTTCTGCTTCATGTGTTTCTCCTATGTCCTGAAGTTTCAGGGCAAGATAAACTTTAATACATGGATCTTCTGATTTTAACCTGACAGCCTTCCTCAGGGGTTCCAGAGACATATTTTTGTCATCAAAGTCTTGACGATAGGCGGCTACAGCATAGCCAGTGTTGTATTCGGGGTTTTCAGTATCAGATTCCAGAGCTTTTTCAAAGCAGGCCAGGGCTTGTTTATTATACTTTTTTCCACACTTCAGCAAGGCCCAGCCTTCCTCACAGTACACGTCAGCACACTCCATCCTGTAGCGGAAGAGACTTGCAAATTCCTTGCAAGTATTCTCCACTTTGTCCAGGTACCTCTGGGCTTCTGTCAAGCTGCCCATGTGGTAATGCACCCAGGCACAGTTGCCCCAGGTCACCACGCTTCTCTTGCCCAGTGGCTTTTTCTGGATCAAGGCTTCTGCTTCTCTCAGGCTCTGCAGGGCTTCCTCATGCTGGCCTTTCAGGTGTCTCACATAGGCCAGGAGGTTGAGCATCCCCACTGGGCTCATGATGTTTAGGAACTTGATCTGCTCTGATATTCTCATTTCCAAATCAGGTATGTCAGCGTCTTCAAACAGCAAGTTCCACGTGAAGTGACAGCTCAGCTGAAGGAGATTCTCCTTGATCTGATCAGCACCTGCATTCTCTCTGCCAGAAGGAAGCAGGAAGATTTTTCTTGGACAATCTGGCCAGATTTTGACACCACGGAAAACACATTTTAAAACATTTTTGCTTATTTCTTGGAAATCTAACATTTCGCCCATTTAGAATTTCTTGATATATGTGTTTTACATCGATTCCTCAGCTCCACTAACTAGAACTGCCAGAGTCTCTTTGCACATGCACGTCCACGTACATGTACTTACCATCTTAGCTTTTGAGTTCATCCATTTATTCACGAATGGACACGGTCACAGAGATACAGGCCTAGCTGCAACCTTGTCAGACTCCTGCCCTGAGATGTGAAACTCGATAAAACTATTACCCCTTCCCCATTGTCTGTGAGGACAATGTGTACAAGTGCCTGCCACCTGAGCTGACCTAAATAGGAACTTTTTGTCATTGCAGGTCCTTCCCTTTTCATCTCAGACACAAACAGCTGGTGTCCTGTCAGAAGAAGGCTAAGTCAGAACAAATGGTCATGCTCTCTGCCTTGTGACAGCCTTGTGACACCAGCGATATGATTTTCTCTGGGTCTTTTCTCTCTGGGCAACATAGATGGGGGGTAGCTCAACAATGGTGTAGAAGGTCCTTTTGTATTTGTGTTGCTTTCATTGGTTATTAAAGAAACTGTCTTGGTCTAGTTGATAGGGCAGAATTCAGGTAGGCAGGGAAGACAGAACAGAATGCTGGGAAGAAGAACAGACTCAGGCATACACCATGAATCTCCAGCTTGAGACGGACTTAGGTTAGAATCCTGCCAGTAAGCCACTGTCACGTGGTGATACACTGATTTAATAGAAATGGGATACTTAAGATGTGAGAGTTGGCCAAGAAGAGGCTAGATATAATGAACCAGGCAAAAATTAAATAAAACAATTTCTGTGTGGTTATTTCAGGTATAAGCTAGCTGGGTGGTGGGATGCCACCTAATCCTCCTACTCAGGTGGGGCAACAAGCCCCTCACCTTCTACAGAGTGGTGCCTAAGATGTCCTCTCCTATGATTACAAAATATCCCTGCATTCTAAAAATGCATCTACACTTCATGGGCTTTCTTGTTTCGCTATGGAGCAGGACAATCCTTCCCTAGAATGTATCACTAATGCCTCAATATCACACTGCACCCATCTGTGTAATGGGAATGATATCAGTGTTTCCCATTTCTGGTCTTTGTTGAGATTAGTGAAGCTAAACATATGGATATGTTATAAACTCCACAGGAGTTTCCTGCTTTTCTATCAGTGTTGAGAGCAAGAGATAGAATTGTGTGACTTGGGATTTGTAGGCAACCACAGCAGCACCTTTGAGTCTTCCATGGCTAGATGGTAATAGGCCCTTGGTCCTGTTGGTAGTTGTCTGCCAGAGGCCAGAGATGCCAAAGTGCTTAAATCAGCTGTCTTTGACTTTGATCTGATCAGATGCCAAGAATAGCGGCAGGAGGTGCCATAGCCTGTTAGGTCTGTCCCATAAAGGACACTCTAGCTTGGAGCCCTTAAGTGTTGACAAATAGAACATGACAGCCATTTAGAAACCTCATGAGTCAGTCAGTTTAACTCACCAGCAAACCCATCCCCTATACCTCTATCCTGATAATGTTTTGATCAAAATCCTGATGCCTTTAGATAACCTGCTCCCCTTTCTGTGTTCAATGTCTACTGTAGGAACTTCATCTTCTTTCTTTCAGTTAAGTTCTCATAATATGTCTGATTTCTGATATCTGCAGTTAAAATCCATGAGCTCCAGTTTTAAATACTACAAGACCAGAATACAGCACCATTGCCTCAAAGGAAGTGTTGTGTGACAGGCAAAATGCTAGAAAATCTCCAAGATGCTCCTGTAATAAAAGTGAGTTTTCATACAAAGAATTAAAATAACTACAAACCTAAAATAATCAATACATTACAGGGCTAGCATGAGTATTCATATGAGAGAAAAAGGAATATATAGTATGGAGGATGGCATTACAGAAAGACATGGGGCAGAACACTGAGTGTATGGTAAAGCCCTTCTACCTACAGGGGGCCATAGGAAAACTCCATGGGATCAGTGGCTTGCACAAGAGAACTTTGGGAGCTCTATATATCTAATTAATATTTTTTCTTACATAACAACCTCAGTTCTCCATTCTTAGTTTCCTCCTGCCCCCAACATCCCCTTCTGTTCACCCTCCATCCACTCCTCAGAAGGTAAGGCGTTCCTTGGGGACTCAACCAAGTATGGCATACCAAGTTGAGTCAGGACCAAGACCATTCCCTCTGTATCAAGGTTGAGTAAGGTAATCCACCATAGGGAATGTGCTCCAAAAAGTCAGTTCATTACCTGAAATAGGTCCTGATCCCACTGCCAGGGAGCTCCACAATAGATCAAGATACATGACTGTAACCCTACATTCAGCGAATCTATTTCAACACAATGCAGGTTCCACAACTATCAATCCAAAGTCTGTGAGTTCAACTAGCTCTGGTCAGCTGTCTTTATGGTTTTTCCCACCATGCCCTTCACCCCTCCTCCAGTCTTGTTCATATGATCCCTTCTGCCTCTCTTCAACTGAATGCCAGGAGCTCAGCCCAGTGCTTAGATGTGGGTCACTGCATCTGCTTCCATCAGTTACTAGATGTAATTCTGTGATGACAAGTAGTGTAGTCAGCACTAAAAAGCAGTGACTTCTTGAAATTTGTGGACAAAAGGATGGAACTAGAAAAAGCTTCCTGACTGAAGTAACCCAGTCCCAGAAATACAAAGGCAGTATGTACTCACTCATAGTGAATATTAGGCATTCTGGCAGGGTTCTGAAAAATGGAGATAGAAGAAAGAGAAGAACACAACACTTCCCTAGCAAATGTAGACTCTTAGAAGTGACGATCTGGAAGCAACTACTCTGAGACAGGTACTTTTGATTTAGAGAAGCACACATCTCAGTAAGGGACTCGATGGATAGACGTCCCTTCCATTTTGGAAATCTTACAATCTTTTGATTAGTTTTGAATGCCATTTCTCTACCTAAGACAAGAGATAGAATTCACCTCTAAAATTTTTGAAAATTTCATTGGCTTGAATGACCAAAGCAGAGCTGCACAAAGATGAAAACAATGCATGGGAAACATACAGATCAGATAGGAAGAGTCAGTGAGGCCTCATGATACACAAAGAGCAATGAACAACCAGTACAGTGGGGATGGGAGAGCTGGAATCCCCCTGGCTAGGCTTTACAGCACCAGATGGCCAACCCTGATACCATACATAATAAGAAACTATATAAGAACTGGATAGGACCATGCATATACATATCAAATTTTATATACGTGTATACATTAACAATCAATGGAAAAAAAGAGGCATTGATTCTGGAGCAGAGTAGGAAGGGTAAATGTGAGGGCCTTGAAACAGGAAAAGAAAAAATGTAGAAATGTAATTATATATTAATCACAAATATAAACAAAAACCTTGTGGAAGAATACATTAAAGTAAATGAAGAACAAGCAAAAACAATTTTTTCAAGCAGTCATAATTATCAGGAAATGACGTTTTAGGGGCTTCTTCTAAGCCTTGTTCTCTCCGTGTTTCTCCTTATCTCATGGCATTTCAATTGTGTTTGCGGAGGGGCTGCAAATGCCAAGGCCCACCTATGAAGGCCGGTGGACAGCATTAGGAGCTGGGCTTCACCTGTTTGTTTTCTGAGAAGGAAAGACAGTGGTCTGCAGCTCTGCTCTCAGTAATAGCACCGAGACTGCCATTCTCACGTTTGCTTGGCAAGCCCTTTACCCACTGAGCTATCTCTCCAGCACCAGTCTAAGTCTCCAAGGGAAGCATTGTGAAGCTTCTTCCTCCTGTCACATGATATTTCAAATCTTACAGGGACTTGCATGATATTGGGGGTCCCAGAGAGCAGCATCAGTGACAATGAACGAAGCTTGAGTAAAAACACTGACAGCCCTTCCTTCCCTTGATTCAAGCAATGGACAGAGGATGCTTAAAATGTCCTTGATGTACCAACGAGCAGAGGTGCCACAGCTCTTTGTTCATGCTGTATAAAGGGTCATGAGCTTCATGGACCAATTCTCTTTGGGCTTATCCATCATCTCACTTGTCCATTCTAATTTCCATAGCACTGTTTCATAATAAAATATTTCTACTTCTCTTTCTAATCATATACCCCTGGTAGAGTCCTATTGATGCTGGACACAATTATTGGGATATTAGAAAAGTGCCTCTGGAAATGGTTGGCAGTGTCCCTGTACTCAAGTCTTTACTGATAACATTTGGTAAGCCAGGTTAGAAAGAGTTAAATGCAGAAGCTTTTTTTATAGTCTCTTTGTCTGCATGTCTGTCAATCTCTCTGTCCCTCTCTGTCTCATTCTGTTTATCTCCTCTTTTTCTGTATCTGTCTGTTGAGCAGCACAATGTCCTTGTCCCCTCAGATGAGCACGAATGAAACCAGCAATGATAGACACATAGGATTATTTCTTCAATAAGAAATATGGATAACTTGTTTTTCCACCCTGAAGGCTGGGAAAAGAGATCATTAATAGCCTGGTGATTTTGCTCTCTGTAGAGCCAGATCTACAATGTTCCCAAAGCAGGACCACAGGTGGCCAATAGCTAGGTGACCTTTGCTTTTTCTGTATAGCCAAAGTTTCCTCAAGCTCCCAAATCAGGGAGGAACGTGTCTATTGCCCAAAAATAACATCTATGCTATCTGTATGACTGACACCTCACAGAATCCATTCCTTAAGGAAGGCAACATATAAAAACTACCTCTACAACCCATCTTATTAGAAGTACTTGGAATTGAGATCCAGTGCAATTATGCCACCTTTTGGACAGAGCATTGTATTACAACAAAGAAATTTTTTTTTCAAATGTAATTGGGCTTAATTTAATATTCTCACAACAAACTGTTGCGTGGGGGTCAGGCTCCAGTGAAGAGTTCAAGAATAAGAATATTAAAATGTAGATACCAGAAATATAAATTTGGAGATAAAAAAAAATTTTGTAAGTCTAGTAAAATGAGAACAGACTGTCAGCAGCTCTCTCAGCAGTTTGAGGATGAGCTATTAACAAGGGATTATTTTGCTTTACAACCCATAGCTCTATTTACAAGGCCAAAGCATCTCTCTGCAAACTGAGAGCTACCCTAAGGATATGAGCTGAGTCAGGAAATAGATATACGACCTCTGGGTTAAGCCTTATACCTGCTATGTGAAACTGGCAACATCAAAGTGGACAACACAGGGCTTCAGTAAACACCACCTGAACATCCCAAGGAAGACAATTAAGATTAAGTATAAACATTGGTTTAACTAAAAAACCTTTGTTAATGGAGACGGTAAAGAAAGGCAATCTGTATCTAAGTTTACTGTAGGAGGTATTTCTGTTTATGTGTTGCTTTCTTTGGTTAATGAATAAAGAAACTGCCTTGGCCTTTGATAGGGCAGAACTTGGGTAGGCAGGAAAAACAGAACTCAATGCTAGGAGGAAGACAGCAGAGTTAGAGTGCCACCATGGAGCCGCCAGAGTCAGACATGCTGAATCATTCCTGGTAAGCCACTGCCACGTGGCAATATACAGATTAATAGAAATGGGTTAGATCAAGATGTTAGAGTTAGCCAAGAAGAAGCTAGAGAAAATGGGCCAAGCAGTGTTTTAATTAATACAATTTCTGTGTGGTTATTTCAGGGCTAAGCTAACAGGGACAAACAAGCCGCCTCTCCCTAAAACAACTGGCACTCCAATGTGGTCACTAAATCTACATAAAACCTGAGAGGGCTTGAAAAAGGAATTCTAGAAGAAAATATATGTGTACATAAAGTTTAACACAGCTTTTTGCTGTTTGCTGGTGGTGTTTCATAACTCCTTTAAGAGAGATTTTCCTGACTCAGCAGTTGCAGCAGGAAAAAAAATGGCCTTTTACCTCAGCCTAAATTAATCCATCTCTGGCTGAGGTCTCAGCTGTTAAGCTTTGTGTGCCCAATAGAGATTTTTTATTTTATTTTTTGCTGGATTCTTGTTTCAGAAATAAAGATTGTTTCTGGTTTATTAGACTTTAGTTGTCTATCCCCACCTTTGCATGACCCCGCTGGACCCAATATCTAGAAGTGTGAACAACACTGGCTGACTAAGGTGTATTCAACCACATTTCTTTCTTGCCTCATGCAGGCCATTACTCTGCTGGCTATGGCATTTGCAGAGAGCCCAGCATTTCTTCTTCTCTGATTCTCTGTCACTGTCTATGAAAGCACTAAAAGCATGTGATTCCTTCTGTTCCTGGGCATGTAGAAATGATAGTCATTTTTCTATAGGAACATTTTCATAGTTTAGGGCGATCAGATTCAATCCTGCTTTTCTTTGATTTCCCTGCCTACAGCAACTACAGTTGGAATTAGAGATTGTGTCCTCACATTATGAGAAATAAAGAACACTTTGAAATCTGGACACCATCAGACTATGGAGATCTGCCTTGACTGGAAGGACCCAAGGATCCTTTTGGGGAACTGTGCCCCAAGGGGGAGGCACATGCACTTGTGCATAAGCACTTGCAGCAGGAAAACTGAGCAGCACAAAGGCAGCTGCAATTTTTGTGGGCAACTGGGACAGAGAGCAACCTGCATCCCACTGCCCACGTGCACTTGGAGATCTCAGCATCCAGCCTCCCCTGTGCACTTGGAGATCTCCAGCCTTTCCCACACTGCAGGCACTCATTTGCAAACCACAGTCTTAGCCACCTGCTAGAGTCATAGGAACTCTGGACCAGGCACAGCTTAGTCATTGGCCCTATGACAATGACTGTCACCTGATAGCCCTTAGTGTCCTCTGCCCTCTTGTTTATTTTATTCCACAATTTTATACCACTGTGGTTTTTGTAATCTCCATCCTCATACAAGCGAAACACTCAGCCTCCTCCATACTCATGTTCTGTAGATGCTTCTATGTGCAAGAACATACAATATTTGCCTATGAAAGAGATGATCACTGTAGCAATAAATTCAAAAGAATACAACTTTACTGACTGACACTTTCAACCCAAACGGCAATATCAAATATAAAGTAAGAGACATTTACATTAAAAGATTTTACATGGACCCAACTAGTGGTGTGCACGCCTTTAATCCTAGCACTCAAAAGCAGAGGCAGGCAGATCTCTTGAGTTTACAATGAGCCTGGTCTACAAGAGCTAGATACAGGATAGGCTCCAAAACTGCAGAGCAAATCTGACTCGAAAAACAAAACCAAAAAAAAACCCAAAAGCAAAATAAATAAATAAATAAAAATTAAAAACACTCCACAGTACCTAGTATTTCTTTACGTTTTATATGGGTGTATGTATGTGAATATACATACATATATGCATATATTCCTGGGGGTGTATAGTTTCTTGTGGGGAAAGATTTAAATATCTCTCATCAAACAAAATAGAATTTCCACATTTTTTCTTTTACTAAGGGTCAGAAAAAAAATGTGTCCTCTCTTGGGTTAACCCAGCCACGGATGGGCCAAAAGCACTTGAACCAGTAACATTGAACACAATCTCAAAAGATCCTCTGGATGTACATTGGGTCCATCCCAAGGGTGATGAATGTGTGGGGTTAGGAGATGGGAAGGAAACGCTCTCAGCAGCTGCTCTCTTTTAGGACTCTAAGAACATAGAGTGGTAACTCATTGTGTTGTAGGTGGCTGCATGTTCGTCCCAACTGGCCAGAACCAAACTGACCACACAGACACTGTATTAATTAAATCACTGCCTGGCCCCTTAGCACTAACTTCTTTTTTTTTTTTTTTTTTGATTTTTCGAGAAAGGGTTTCTCCGTAGCTTTTTTGGTTCCTGTCGGGAACTAGCTCTTGTAGACCAGGCTGGCCTCAAACTCACAGAGATCCGCCTGCCTCTGCCTCCCGAGTGCTGGGATTAAAGGTGTGTGCCACCACCGCCCAGCTTAGCTCTAACTTCTTATTGGCCAACCCTTACATCTTAATTTAACCCATTTCTAGTAATCTGCATATTACCATGTGGCTATGGCTTCCTGACAAGATTCTGCAAAGAGTCTGTCCCTGGTGGAGTTACATGAGTTCTCTCTGACTCTGCTTTCGTTCTCCCAGCATTATGTTATGGTTTTCCCCACCTAGATCTGATATACCCTATCACAGGCCCAAAACAGCTTCAACCAATGGTATTCACAGCATATAGAAGGGAATCCCACATCATTATTCCACTCCTGAAGTTCTCGTTGGCAATTGTCTCTCTCTATGGGATGAACATGCTAATGTATCAACCAGGGATTTGAACTACATGTCTGAGACAGCCTTAAAAACTCTAGCAAGTATTCCATGGCCACATTATAATCATTGAACAAATTCTCTGGGCCATCAGTGCAATTAGCATCCTTGTTCCCTTTTCAGTAGTAAAAAGAGAACCCATAGAACATAACAAATGAATGCAAGCAGACTCATCAGACCTGGTCACAAGAAAATATCTGAGCCGGGTGGTGGTGGCACATGCCTTTAATTCCAGCACTCGGGAGGCAGAGGCAGGCAGATCTCTGTAAGTTCGAGGCCAGCCTCATCTAGAAGCGCTAGTTCCAGGACAGGAACCAAAAGGAGCTACAGAGAAACCCTGTCTCGAAAATCAAAAAAAAAAAAAAAGGAAGGAAGGAAGGAAGGAAGGAAGGAAGAAAGAAAGAAAGAAAGAAAGAAAGAAAGAAAGAAAGAAAGAAAGAAAGAAAGAAAATATCTGTATCCTGGGTTCACTCAAACTGTAAGCAGGGAAATCCTTACCCCATGGTGGCTGTGAAGGTGGCTGCAGTTCTCTGCGTTTTCACCAGGACAGGACTCCTCAGGATCCTTCCTTGATGCTCTGCTCTCTTCTGACCTTCGCACCAACTGGACTTCTCATATATAAGCCGGGAAGAGAGCTATAAAATGAGGTGAGGTTGGCATACACCAGTGGGAAAATGAAACTGGAAACTGAAACAAAAGCCTTCAGGCTTCTTGTCAGCGAAACTGTGGACAACCAGGTATTGGCCTTTCGTTCACTCCTCTGAACTGATGGAGAGAAGGCTCTGGAATAGACTGACATGTCAGTTCCCCTCTCTGTCCAGAGAGAGATATCTATGCACCTGGAGATGCTGTTACAAAGAGGTTGATGGAGGTGATGTGAACATAAAGAACCAGACTGGCATATTCACAATTATTTTTTCATCAAAGTACTGATATTCTGCACTTACTCTTTGGAAGTGAGACTATAGTCATGTTGATTTGATGGGATGGCAAATGGAAGTTTAGGGATAGCAGAGTCCATCTGCAATTTGGTTCCTCTACAGTCTGGAATTGGTCTAAACCACTTGGCTTGCTGTGTGGCTTTCCTTATCAACTTCTGCAGATTCCATCCATGCATGGCCACCTCCCTCTGCAGAACTTCTCAGTGTACCTGAGGCTTTAGTAGTTATATCATAGATCTGGGACAAACAACTAAACTCTTTAATATAAGCAGAAGGGTTAGTAGAAAAGGAACCTAGTCTCTTTTCTATCTGAGAGAGATCTGAAAGAGAAAAGGGAACATGAACTTTTATAATGCCATTGATTCCTGCTACCTCCTGGAGAGGACAGAAGAGGGCAGAACTATGTTGGTATCTGGCATGAGAGGAGACTGGAGAGGATTGAGAGGTGCTATCCCAGTGTGCAGAGGCGGTTTATTGGTGGAAAGTTGGGGTAGGATGGAGAGTAGAGGGAGGAGGGGAAGGTGGGTATGGTGGAAGATGACCTTGAACTTCCAGATTGGCTAGGAAGGGGGTAGACAGGGAAGGAGAGAAATGTAAAAAATGTTGCTTCATAGGAGGGGGTTGGGTAGTGTGGGCTTGAGGGAGTAGGGGAGGGGCCAGTGCCCCTGGCTTCATGGTCCAGCTGGAATGATTGGGGTGCCAATTCTCACATGACTGGAAATTTGGAGGCATTGTGGCCTTAGATACCAAGACCAGTGCCACAAGACATTGGCTACTAAGAGAAGGGCAAGAGCACGGAACTGAAAGACCATGGACATATGTAAGCTCTGCCCATTTGTCCTTAAGGTGACAATAATTTTCTAGGTTCCAGAGGACGTTAAGCTCAAGGCTTCCTTCTGGTATCCCATTGTCAAGATAGTACTGAGGCCAAATCTTAGTAGCATAGGGAAATTAGACATTCAAGACTAATTGTATCGGACAGCCCCAATTTATAAAGATTTTGTAAGAGGCAGCCCAGGGGTGACAGCAGATCTGGCTTTGAACTGCAAGTGCCCATTGTAAAGTCTATGCCCAACTGCGTGGCCTAAGTCTATTACAGTGTGTCCATTAAAATAGCCCTTCGGTCTAAGTGGGTCAAGGAAATTGAATGATAGGTGTCCCTTAAGCAAACAAAGTCCATCTCAGCTAGACCCGGTTTTGCCCATCTAGCAGCTGAGGTCAGACCTCAAGGTGCAGGCCTGCAGCTTCCACAAGAGTCCGATAATCAATAAAAGTAAGTACAAATGGGTCCCCCCAAACCCCTATAGCATAGACAACAAAAAGGACCCACCAAAACGCAGCTCTGTAGCCTGGGAGGCAATTTTAGAGTGACATAAAGAGATCAGATTGGGGCTTTCAACATGTGGCCTATCCTCATGCAGAAAGGCCACCCTACCCAGTGGGACCTCCAAGATGTTAGGAATTTTGCTAATGCGAGTTCTCTGCTAACGCAAAAAAAAAAAAAATCCAATCAAGCCAAATTACAAGTCAAATTTACAAATATCCAAATGTAATGGGACTCCTGTGCTCTTAAGTGGTCATGAGGGGGAACTGGGATACCGGGAATGTATTTACGGGCTGGAGGTGGGGGAGTGAAGGAAAGAGACCACGAGGGAACTTTCTGGGAGAAGCAGTTTAAATAGACTGGGGCAGTGGTCAAAATTTTGGCAGGCTCTCTTTACCCTGATCCTGGGAATGGACAGGGCTTGGCAGGCACAGAGACAGGTCCTCCAAAAATGGAGACCAAAGAATGGAGCTTACAGTCACAAACACTTTAGCCACTGGATAGAGCCAGAAAATACACCAACTGTACTCAGCCCTCATGCAACCCAGGCTGAAAAATGGTGTACACCTGGGGGAGGAATGAGGCTTCCCTACAAGATCATTGTGGAGAAGTCTGTGCCATAACCCAGTCAGGGCCTATGTCCAAGTCCCAAGCCCTGCTACAGCAGTGATCTGTGTACAAGGACTGAGTTATAACCAAAGGCCATGTTAATGTCTGGGTTCTGTGCTGTCACCTGAGTCCATTGTGACATTTGTGGTCAGGGTGGCCTGCAAGGGCCTTGTCTGGGTCCATGGTGCTAATGCAGTCTGTGTTCTAGCTCAGTCTGTGCCCTTGGAATCCATCAAAGTCAATGAGGATATCCCTGGTCTCTGCCAATGCATGAAGCCATCAATATCTGTAGGTTGTGCAGCTGTAGGGTACCAGATTGTTGTGGGTGGGCAACTTGATGTCCTTTGACAGGTCAGCCTATGACAGCTGGATCTCAGTTAGTGTTCTTACTGAAGCATAGGACTGTTTTTGTGGTCTATCGTGTCCCCAGAATTTGAGTGTGTCATCACAACCCATGTCCCCACTGAAAGGAAAGAGCATGGAGATGACTTTTGTGGTGAAAGTGATATCGATGGCTGCAAAGGCACAGTTGAGAGGGGAAGATATGGAAGGCTTTTGTGGCAGACTTTGGATGTCCCAAACTGTCTTCCCCTAAAACACATAACAGCCTAGACAGAGATCTACCAAAGAAAACTCTTAAAAAGTGTGACAAAGTGTGATGTCAATCATCTGTAATGTCAGCTACCCTACATCAACTCTTTTTTCCCACCTTTAAAACCAGAACTCCACAGGCAGAAACTGGTGGATATCTGAGTTCAAGACCAACCTGGTCTACAGAGTGAGTTCTAGAAGAGTCAGAGTCACACATAGAAATTCAGTCTCAAAAAACCAAAATGAATAAAGTAGTGTGTAAATAAATAAATATAAGAAAACTTATGAACTAGCTGAAGACTAGCTGTTATGATTGTTCATCACTTTAAGAGACAAGCAACACCCACTCCCTTCAGCCCCTCATTTCCTCACCATCTTGACTTCTCTCTGTTCCCTTTTCTGCTGCCCCCTTCTCTTTCTTGCTCTGTCCTCTTTTCCTTCTTTTCTCTCTCTGTCTCTCTGTCTCTCACCCCCTTTTCTCCTTTACCTTACCCTCCATAATTTAACTAATAAATATATAATTCTATTCTGTTCGAGGTGCCTGTCCATGATGTGCTGTCCATGTGCCTACACTGCTCACCAGCAGGAACTTGCACCTTCGCCGGGAACTTGCACTTTCCAGGGGACTCACAGTCTGCAGGACCAGCCCACCTCCACATGGCTGGGGCCAGTTATCTTGGTTTGTGGACCCACCACAAGCTGCCCAGGGCCCACAGCAAAATTCATACACTAGCTGTCCACAATTCATAGCTTCAGAGCTTCTGTTGAGTTGGGGGAGTGTAGGAGTTCTGGTGGGCTGCGTTCACGCTCAGCACCGCATGGCTAGCTTTACCCAAAATAATCACATGGAAACTGTATTCTTTTAAACACTGCTTGGCCCATTAGCTCTAGCCTCTCACTGGCCAACTCTTACATCTTAATTAACCCACCTCCAGCAATCTGTGTAGCACCACAAGGTGGTGGCACACCAGGAAGGATCCTAACCTGCGTCCAACTTGGAGAAGAGAAGCGTGGCATCTGAGTGGCTCGGCTTCTTTCTCCCAGCATTCTGTTCTGTCTACTCCACCTACCTAATTTTCTGTCCTATCAAAGGCCAAGCAGTTTCTTTATTAATTAACCAATGAAAGCAACAGATAGATACAAAGCACCTCCATCAGGGGAGAGGAAGGACTCAGTTGTATTTCAGGGGACGGGAACTAAGAGTTTGGCGATGCTTCAAATTCAATATAGATAACCCAAAGTGATATTGTGTTTTTCTTGATTTATTACTTATTTTGTAGGTAAGTTTACAAAGGAGAGTGGACATGGAAAGACTGTCAAGATCAGGGTACATGATGTAAAGCTCCCAGATAATCAAGAAAAGATAATATGTGGGAAAAATTACCATATGTATTAAAATGTTGTGAATTAAGGGGCATTTCAAGGAAACCAGGCTCAGGGACTTACCTGACAAATCATATTGAAGAAGTGTAGGCCCATATTTCTACATGATGTGACATCCAAGTTCTCAGGCCATGGTTAGGATCCATCAGGCACCCTTCCAGACAGGCTGTCACTGCCCTAACAAAGGTCAGGATATGCTGCTCCTTTTCCTTTGAATTATGTAGAGCCCCTGAAAAGAGGTGTTATTTCCAAACTAGTGACCAAGCTGTGGACATGACTGCAGATCTGCTACCCAGGAAACAGAATGTTAATGAAATTCCACCTTAGTTTACCTTGGGGAATAAAAGTGTTTGGTTAGTAAACACTGGTGATCTTGAGGGGTGGAATAAAGCCTGAGACTCCCTTCCAATAATGCTGTGTGAACTGTGTCTCAATTATTTCTGTGCCTCCCTACAGTTCCAAGAGAGAAAAATAGTTAATGTTGGGGCATCAGACTCTGACAAAGAAGGGGTGTTGCTTCCACCCTTGAATATCATCCATAGAGTAACAGTTAGCAAACACTGGGTTGTCACAACCCACACTAGCCTATCATCTGATACCTGATGTTTGTGTCAAGGGACAATTTGACCAACCTTAGTCCCTTCCCTTGATGCAGTCTGTTCTACTGAAGGCCCTTTCCCCTGATCACCCATCTAGACCTGGATCTGACTTGCAGCTTTTGCCTTTGACTTGGTTAGGCCTTTTGAAACCTGGCTTGATTACTCAGCATCCTTCTTGGCCCGACGCTGGCAACAACACCAGCAATCAGTACCAGTAGCCCCTCCTGGCCTCCTATTCATTTATGGTTCTTTCTCGTGTGGGATCATTCTCATTTTTCTTTTGAACTACAGTTCATCATGGAATATTGGGAACTGTACTTGTAACTAAGTACACATAATCTACATTTAGTAAACAATAGTGACCCTATTAGTTAAAGCCTGATGCTCAAACCATAAAGCACAGTGGTTTTACTTATTATTAATTTAAATATTTTTCATACTCATTTAGTGTGTGTGCTTGTTTTTGTGGTTGTGCACATGCACACTGTATCACCCATGATTGTCCCTTGCATAGTTGTGCAGGGCAGGCCATAACTTGTTGAAGTTTCATCGATACAGTTGTGTCAACGAGAAGAGTCAGGATAATGAAAGAGAGACAACACTATGAGGAGACAAAGAAGAGCAAAATGGGCCTGGTGGTGATGGCACACACCTTTAATATCAGAACTCAGGAGCAGAGGCAGGCAGATATCTGTGAGTTCGAGGACAGCCTAGTCTACAAGAGATAGCTCCAGGACAAGCTCTACAGAGAAATCCTGTTTCTAAAAACCAAAAAGAAGAAGACGAAAAGAAGAAGAAGAAGAAGAAGAAGAAGAAGAAGAAGAAGAAGAAGAAGAAGAAGAAGAAGAAGAAGAAGAAGAAGAAGAAGAAGAAGAAGAAGAGCAAAGAAAACCCAACCCAAAAGAGCATGGGTCAGCAGACATAGAGCAGAAAGGTGCATCCTGGGCCACTGAATCTAGGATCAAGAACTCAAGGCACGTTAATCAATGCAAGAACCTTAAGCATTTCAGTTCTGTAGTTTTGACCTGTAACTCTCATGGAATGAAGTAAAGGAGACAGGGCTTAGTGATAATAGGAACACACCAGATCCAGTATCTGACACACACACCATTTCCTAAAAAATCTTGGAAAAGTGTCTCCCCTGGGGCAAAGGTGGAAATGATTTTCTGGAAGAGAAGAGTCTGCCAAATACCCAAATCCCAGCTTTTCAATCAAACTGCATATCCTCTTGCTACTTCCCAGTCTTTCTTACTCCCATTCCCTTTTCTCCTCCCTTCTCAGTTTCTATTCCTCTCCATTGATGTGGGCTATCAGGGATCATCTTTATGAATCCTGAGAGCTGACACTACGGTTTTCCTTTGCTTGAATTTAATAAACATGTTATTGGCTTACCATGGATAAATCTGTAGAAAGTATCAGTTGTAATTTCCCAAGGGTCAGGCAAAGGAACACTAAGTTCATCCCAAGCATCAGCTTCCTACTGAGAAATAGCAGCGCTCAGGTACCAGGGTAGCATCAGTCACCCTTACTATCCGGTGTTATGTAGAATGAAATAACCTTTTTCGTGTTTTCACATCCCACGCGCTCCTTTAATGTGCACAGCTTTCTCCCATACTTGCCCACTAGACTCCTGGGAGTTGGTTCTGCAATCCCATGCCTTCCTGAGTACCGTGAAAGATGAACCTTTTGAGTACTATCAACAAATTACACTGAAAGAGCCTGTGATTCCTGTAAATTTTAATGAATATATTTTAGTGGAGGGAAAAGCATCACACATAGCAAACTATCAATAGGACAGAAAAAAATCAGGCAAACTTTTTATGTCATCTTCAGTCTGTAAGGTCCCAGCAAGCTTTCCTTGCATTACTGTCCGCACACTTAAGTCTCTCATTAGCTGTGAATGGGTGTCCAGGAATGTGAGACCGCTCCTGCTTTCAGACTCTCTCCTTTGCTCAAATATTTTGCTCTGTGATTGTACTATACTAAGAGTTCCTGATGATCAAAATTGAATTCTGATTGGAAAAGATTTTTTGTCCAGGAAACTGGCAGAGAGAGGATGAAGACTTTCTTCTAACTTTACAGATATAAGGTAAAAGGTTTGTGACAGGACACAGAGCAATGAGAACAGCAGTAGTCAGTCCTGGCCATTAAGTGAGCAGGTGTAGTGGGGACAGAACTTCCTTCTAGACATGACCATGAGGGTGAGAAAGAGGTGGCAGGAGCCAATGCATTTCGGTTCTTGAATTTCAGCAAGATTGCAGTTCTGGGGAAAGCAGTCAGGTGGAGGAATGGAACCTCAGTGATGAGTACATTATCTTCGCAGAGGTGAGCTGCATTCAGAACTCATGGTTTATCTCTTTAGTGAGCCTCAGAGCCCTTTCGTAATACAGCAGAGCCTCATGCAAGTTCCCTTTCAGCTTGTGGACTAACCCAAGGAGGCTGGTGCTCTCCACAGGTCGAACATTCTGCTGAACCCGTCTTTCAGCCACTTTCTCCAAAGCTGTGAGTAGTTTCCTCCCGGCATAGGATGTTTCTTCTATTTTTAGACCTTTTAAGTAGTGGGTGATCGCCTTGTCTTCTGATTTCTGATGATATTGCTGGTAACGACCATAGCGTAGATGAATGTCCTGCTCTATGTGACCTACAAGGTTTTTCATGTTCAGAGCCATCTTGAAATTTGCCTCAGCTTCTTCATATTGGTGAATTTCTGCCTGTGCTTCAGCCATGCAAACATAAGCCATCTCAAACGTGGGCCTCAGTTCCACAGTCTTCTGAAATTTAGAAATGGCCCGTTGTGCCAATTCCTTAATGCTGCCCTGCCTTCTGAACGGTGTGTTTCTGGATGTTTTCAGTTGGATCATTTGTTGCTTGTAACAGAGCCCTATTTGGTAATGCAGGTAGCCAGAGTCAGGTGATGTCTGCAAGGCCTTGTGTAGGAGTTGGAGAGCTTTGTCTATGCAGCCTTTTCTCCGGTAATACTTAGCTGCATACCGAAAGACATAGGTTTGACAGGATGTGCTGCTGAGGGCTTCTTCAATGTGACTTTCTGCTTCGTCCTGTTCTCCTACATCCTGAAGTTTCAGGGCAAGATAAACTTTAATATATGGATCTGCTGGATTTAAAATGACAGCCTTCCTCAGGGGTTCCAGAGAAATATTATTGTCATAATTGTCTTGACGATAGGCGGCTACAGCATAGCCAGTGTTGTATTCGGGGTTTTCAGGCTCAGCTTCCAGAGCTTTTGCAAAGCTTTCCAGGGCTCGTCTATAATTCTGTCCTCCACACTTCAGCAAGGCCCAGCCTTCCTCACAGTGCATCTCGGCACACTCCATCCTGTAGCGGAAGGGACTTGCAAATTCCTTGCAAGTATTCTCCACCTTGTCCAAGTAGCTCTGGGCTTCTGCCAAGCTGCCCATGTGGTAATGCACCCAGGCACAGTTGCCCCAGGTCACCAGGATTCTCTTGCCCAATGACTCTTCCTGGATCAAAGCTTCTGCTTCTTTCAGGCTCTGCAGGGCTCCCTCATTCTGGCCTTTCAGGTGTCTTACGTAGGCCAGGAGGTTGTGCATCCCCACTGTGCTCATGACGTCTAGGAATTCGACTTCCTCTGAGATTCTCATTTCCAAATCAGGAATGTCAATGTTTTCAAACAGCAGCGTCCACGTGAAGTGACAGCTCAGCTGATCCAGATTCTCCCTGACCTGAGCAGCACCAGCATTCTCTCTGCCAGAAGGAAGCAGGAAGACTTTTCATGGACAACTTGGCCAGAATCTGACACCATGCAAAACACATTTTACAACATTCTGGCTTATTTATTAGAAATCTAACATTTTTCCCATTTCTTGATATCTGTTTTTACTTCAACCCCTCAGCTCCACTTACTAGAACTGCCAGAGTTTCCTTGCACATGAATGTCCATGCACGTGTACTTACCATCTTAGCTTTTGAGTTCATCCATTTATTCAAGACTGGCCACGGTCACAGAGATACAGGCCGGGTCCCTATTTTTGTCAGACTCCTGCCCTGAGATGTGGAACTCAATAAAACTATTACCCCTTCCCCACTGTCTGTGAGGACAATGTGTACAAGTGCCTTCCACATGAGCTGACCTAAATAGGACCTGGCCATGGGTTCAACACCAAGTATTGGTCATTGCAGGTCCTTCCCTTTTCATCCCAGACACAAACCCCTGGTATCCTCTCAGAAGTAGGCTGACTCAAAACAAATGGACTAGCTCTCTGCCTTGGGACAGCCTTGTGACACTAGTGATATGATTTTCTCTGGATCCTTTTCTCTGGGCAACATAGATGGGGGGTGACTCAACAATGGCGTAGGTGGTCCTTCTGTATTTGTGTTGCTTTCATTGGTTTTTAAAGAAGCTGCCTTGGCCTAGTTGATAGGGCAGACGTCAGGTAGACGGAAAAGAGAGAACAGAATCCTGTGAAGAAGAACAGAGTCAGGCAGGTGCCATGAATCTCCAGCCTGAGATGGACGTAGGTTAGAATCTTGCCAGTAAACCACAAGCACATGGTGATACACTGATTTAATAGAAATGGGTTACTTAAGATGTGAGAGTTGGCCAAGAAGAGGCTAGATATAATGGGCCAGACAGTAATTTAATAAATACAAT